ACAGACTTTCCAATGTATATACGCGGCTGCTTTATCGTGTCGGTGGGTATATTCTGTTTTCGCAAGTTCAGGACACCCAGACACAATATGGTCGATTGTTTCGTCGTATTTGTTACACATCATACATAGGGGGCTAGTACCGTCTTTGATAATGCTGGGGTGGTATGATCTGGTAGCTAGGCTTTGGTCTTGGGCTGCGATTATGAATCCTTTCGTTTCTGCCTTCAGTCCACTGCTTTTGAGCCACTGGTTGGTTTTGTGGTGGTCAACATCTACTTCCTTTATTCTCTTTGGGTATCTTCCATGGAGGGCTTTGTCCTCCCACTACTTTGTTAATTTTTCTTGGGTCTTATTTCGTGCTATTTGTTTGGTTCTCTTTGCATATTTGGTGGTTGTTTCTTCTGCTTGTTGTTATTATTATTATTATTATTATTATCATTAATATTATTGTTATTGTTATTATTATTATTATTGATACAACATGAACTACAATAGGGCAATTAAAGAAGATACAAAAGAAATATACTTGTAGTTGTATAGCATGTATAGGAGTTAATAGAGGGTGTGTTCTTATGGGATGGTTTGTATCAAGATCTTTCATTCAAGATCACTTGGATCATGGTATATCAAAGGAATCGATGAATCCTTGCCCAGAGTAGATTCATTGGTTCCTTCTGATGCACCATGATCCAAATGATCTTGGACCATTGATCCTGATCCATGCTTCTATTTTCTTGATGATTTCTTCTCTGCCACCTTTCTATAGATGAAGATGAGGAAGGAGATAGAATCACTGTTAGAGGTGACGAGGAATTGCAGGCTATGATTAATGGGGTAAGGTACTCATATGTTCAGTACTGAAGAGAGTCTAGTACTGTAAGTTATATTTAAAAGTAAATGTAAGTTTTATGTTTGTATGTAGGAACTTTAAGAATAAAAAGATCTACATTTTGTTACTGTTTTTGTTAATCAGGTCGACAAGAATGTATTGATATAAGATAAACACAATATTATTATTATCCTGGAGCCCAGGGTATTTTCTGTGCTTACCTCCATTATACATTTTATACTAAGCTCTTGTAGAGCATGCATACATGTACATTATTTTATAAGGTTTTCAATTTAATTTATAATTATGATATGGGATTGATATACATGGACATGTGCAATTTATTAAAGAGGAGTTCACTTCAGTAACAAAAGTAAACTTGCATTTGCTGGTTTTGCATTACAGTACTACACTTCATTGAAAACCACTTTGGACCATAACTTATTATTTAATTTGTACTTTATTATACATATGTATTCATAGGATTATTTATGTTATACATGTAGAACTTAATAGTTGAATGATATTTTTTCTTCAATTCTCTGTCTTGTAAAAGCACCTGTGGATGAATGCAGAAAGACTTAGGAGAGGAGTTTCACAAGAGCCATTAATTGTTTATCCAAAAGGTAGCGAAATGTAAATGCTTTATTTCTAAACCTGCGCTTTCAGACCTCATCCACTTACATGTAGTTTGTGTGTCTATTACTTTATTTTGATTTTGAGAGTGTACAATGTATCTGCAAGTTTTTACAGTGCATTCTCTATTTTCCACAGCTTGTAGAACTTCAAGAAGAAGGAATTTTTGTGGGCTGACTGTAAGTACTTTTAAAACTGCTACTAACATCTTGTATTTGTTGTATTTATCACATTTTACTTGCAAATTAATTTATACCTCAAGTGACTAAGCAGTGCTAAATGTTCGTGTAGTGGTTTATCGCTTTTAAATAAGTTTGCTTCTAGTAATCTGTAGTATCATTAATCCTCAGCACATAATCTTGGCCGATGTTCATTAAAATAATTTTTCTAACAATTGATATGTAATACACACAACTGATTTTAAGGTATAGTTTTAATGACTAGCAAGACACTAAATTATTTTGTAATTTAGCTTCAAAATATGTGCACAAAATACAGTGTATCATGTCAATGTGATTTGATATTTACAACAAAACGATGACATATCAATGAAACCGACAAGACAATTTACTATGCAACCTTAAATATTTATTTACGTATATTTCCTCACCCAGAAAATAGGAGAAGGGAAAGGGGAACCTGCTCATTGGAGGGGGGAGAAAGCAAGTTGAAATTTTTCCTCAGAGGAGGGGTGCTTAGTCAAGGTGGGAAACTTCATATTAGTGGGGTCGGGCACTTAGTCTATGACTTACTGTTGGATGCATATGTTTTATTAAACCAGGTTAACACAAAGGCAACTCCAGTAAACAATGCTGTTCCAACAAATGCTGTTCCAACAAGGTGAATACATGTACTGGGACATAGTTACTCTTTCATGTTTCCAATCTTCTTCTAAAGTATCAGACTAACGAGAAAATTATGTTGCCATTTCATGGAGGACCTTCAGCCATCACACACTATTGGCTGATAGTGTATGATAGCTTAGCCAATCAGATTGCAGAATTTGCAGTCTAAGTATACTAATAGGATTCTACTATTAAATAATAATATTGATAATTATGCTGTCAATCCTAGATTAATATTATTTAACCTCATTGAAAAGGTATCAATATTTATACAGATTTCTAATTTTGTAGCTTACAAAAGTCAGAACATGGAGATATAAGGGTCATTTTAGGCAATGGCCAGGTAAGAGCTAATAGAATGTTAGCACAGAAATAATGGTCTAAAAATTTCTATTAAAAACAAGGCAAGCTGGTTTACACATATACATAGTTTTGTAAAGTGGATAGCTAGTAAGAACTCCTGAAGACTTTTTATGTACTCACAGATACTAAATTTAATATGGGATGGTGTATAGCCGTAAAGAATAAATAATTTATTAATTATTCCTTATTAGTATATACCACACAAGTGAATAGTACTTTTCACGCACGCTGATTGGCTAGCTCGGAGGTGATTAGCCAAGTACTATTAAACTCCAAGCAGCAGAGGAGAAACAAAATGGATTAAACTGGTCTTTTTCTTTGAATATCGTGTCAGATCCAAAAAAAAATAATAATAATTTAGTGAAAATCATCGAACTTTTGAAGTCGTTCGTTTCATTTCACTTCGTTTTCCTTCAATTGATCACCTGACTTACCGTATCATGTGACTTTGTGAGCACAAGTGTGCATCGAACGGCACGCGAATTTTTTTGTCTGACCTTTTGTCGCTATATTGTCACAAATAAAGTCACTCTTTGGTTCACTAGTTATTAAGTTTGTGTGGTACATACTAAAACAATTATTCACCTCAGTGTCGCGGCTTGGTAAATATCCACCACTATTCACCTCCACTTCAATGAATAATTGTTAATTATTAACAAATTAGTTCATAGGTAAGACAACAAGTAATATTGCGTATACTTCAGTCCTTTACATTATCTTATTACATGAACATTTAAGTTTAGGACTGTTAATATTCTGCATTTGTGCACTGTAGGTTTCCCACACAGATATTCAGCATTTAGACATTTTAGGACATGGAAATGGAGGAACAGTTTACAGGTTTGTTACTAAGAGTACTTTCTTTATTTAGGTATAATTAAGCAATCTTTAACTGCAATGATGTATTTGCAATCATTATTGTATAATTATGTACATGTATATATCATTAATTATAAGCTATATTGCAATCTACAATGCCACAAATGAAGATTGACAAAATAAAACCTGGAAGTGTTAAGTCCATGAAACTGTCTTCTGTTATAAATAATAAAAATAGATGTTAGGCCTTGTACTAGGTTTTATTTTCTGATCGGTTATTACCTTGTCAAAATGCTCCACAAGATGTTTGAGGTGGAATCTGTAGCTGAACGCTACATCTTGGACCTGAGTGGCATATTTTCCATATCCTCAGTAGTGACGATATTGATGATGTCATTTTCTGCTTTTTCACTGTTATTCATATACAGTAGTCAGTTTTTCCATAGATTTATTAAAATGAAAATTATGTGGTGGCTTGAAGATATGAGTTATACTTTCTTGTGTTAAAATGATATTTTACTCCCTTGTTGTACTGTAATATAGTTATTACTAGGATTGTAAGATATTGATCTTCATATCTCTTCCACAAGTGCTTTACACTCAGGTCATTTATGTAAATTGATATATTGAACTGATCAGGACCTCACAGACTTTAAACTTGATTAATATGAGGCACATGTACATGTATACTTGAAGAATTTGTCAGTTTATGTTTATTTATTTATTTATTTATTTATTTATTTATTTTTATTATTTTTACTTCACCCAGGGCCTTGCATACAAGGACAAACCGAATTATTGCAGTTAAGGTGAGCTTTTCTTTCAGTTATACCATTCCATACTTAATTGGTTTGACTCTAGAATCTCAGCCACATGTGTCAATTTATTTTATCTTATTCTATCTATTTTTTTATTACAATTTAATGACAACAAATTCATAAAAAAAGCAGAAATGCCTGCCATAAGGACAGTCTGTAAAAGAGTCAGACAGACCAATTACCTACATTATAAATAATTATATGAAAAGATATTAGATTTGCTATAGATTTGCAATATGAATTTTTTTGTGTGGGTAGTCCAATTCACTGATTCACAATCAATATAATCTTAGAAAGCAAAGTATGACTGCAGTGTAGCTCACTAACTGAAAAATGGTACATTTTCTCTAATATTCAAACTTTGGATGTTGTTGCTCTATGTATTTATAGGTGATTCCTTTAGATGTAACTCCAGATGTACAAAAACAGATTATATCTGAATTGGAGATACTGTTTCAGGTAAAAATTACAAATGAGTGTTTTTTTTATTCTTAAATAGACTGCAGTTTAAAGTTATGCATACATGTCAGTACAGTTCACAATGCCTATGCTGTTAGTGCTATTATTAAATTATAAATAGAATATTATAAATTTATCTTATTTAGCAATCTAATAATTTACATTCTGTAATCTCCTGGTGCATTTCAGTGTTCCTCGACCTTTATTATTGAATTTTATGGAGCATTTTTTGTGGAAAATAGGTAAAGTTTGCCTCTTACAAACAACATAACTGTTATTCTAGATGGCCAGTTGTGTAAGGTTTTTTTAAAATGTTTTCAGTAGATTGTAGTTTTTTCCTTCTCTTTTGTTTGTTTTTTTGTTTGTTTGTTTTGTTTGTTTGTTTGTTTTTATTTGTTTTTGCTGTCGCTTAGCAGTTGAACTGTTTTCTGATGACTTGAGCAAGACTTGTACAAGACTTGTACAACACATTATTAACACACAGTGTCTACCAAAATTAATGGGTACTTCAAGTTTCATGTTCAGAGAAAAATAAATATTAAGTTGATTTTCATGTAGTACAGTGTACTGTTGACACTGTCTATGGAAGCAAGTACCAAACTTAGCAGACTGCCATTCTGTCTGTTTGTTCAAAACTGTACTGACTGAGGACTGACAGAGGTTAATTAAATTTATAAATGATTTTTATTAACAACAAATTGCATGTTTTCTTTTCAATCTTTACTTAGAATATCAATTTGTACAGAATATATGGATGGTAAGAATTCAATTACTTCATAGACAGTGCAGTTATCAATAATTATTTCATTATTAAGTTATTATTGTCTATCATCACTGTTTGTTTTTCTTTCATGGTCTGACTAAGTGACTAATGATCATAGGCAGCTATGATACATGTAGCTGTAGTATGTTTAAACGGTTTCAGCTCTGTAGTAACTTGAAGTAAAATAATATTGACACTAACTGGCTCTTCATATCACGCGTTGATTTTAACTTTGATATTAAAATAATATGTATTTAATCCAGACTAGTAGTTAATTGTCTCTTTGAGCTAAGTGGATCATCATTCTGCCCAGCCTTGCACTATCAAGTTGAAAGTTCGTTAGTGTCTTTTTAAAAGATTATATGTGTACTGTTTATGTACTGTTTATTCCACTGAATGTGAATGTCAGTCCATTACAGGCTATTCACTACTCCCATTAATTCAATATGTTGCACTTAGCAATTTTCTACTAACCTAAGTTCACTGGTTGCATATTTACTAGGAATGAAAAAGAGAATTTCTGATGTGACCATTTTATCTCTGCTTAGGAGGTTCCCTAGACATGTTTGGCTGCATACCAGAACCAGTTTTAGGCAGAATTGCAGTTTCAGTAAGTGTTCAACATTAGCAGACCGTTCCTTATTGATATATTATTGCAAATTTCAGAAGTTTAATTGTCTAATGTTTCCATTGATGTGTAGCAAAGACATGAAGGAATTGTTGGATGAAGAGCAAGGTCAATCGTCATTAAACTGTTGTCAGTACTCTTTCTTCCTTTGTTCCTTCTGCTACATTCCAAATAACCACTAGCAAGCTTGGCAATAGAGAATGTTTACATTTTGTTTATTGATCAGTGCAGGGGTGTCGCATCTTTGAGAAACTTACGTACATGTATGCACTTCATTCATTCCCTCTAAAGGTGTCAGCCACATATGAAACAGGCAAAGGAAAGGCATTTAAACTTAACAAATGGCACCCTGTCTGTTCCTTTGAATAATTACTCTAGAACTGTAGTCGTGGTGAACAATGTTTCTGTCTTTACAGGTAGTCAAAGGACTTCTTTATTTGTGGGAATTAAAAATAATGCATAGAGGTGAGCAAGGCCTTACACTGTTTGAATTTGTATTAGTAAAAAACTCATTCCTGAATTACGAATTTATTCAAAGTTTAAAAACTACTGTAGTTTTTATTTGATAAATTGACATTTCAATAACTAAGAATTTTAATAGACGGTAGAACCTCGATTTAACGAACCTCTATATTACGAAGTTCTCGATATAACGAACGATTTTCTCAACCTCATTAGTAGTAAAATATATGGAAAAC